ATATATATATATATATACCTTGTTTTTCTTCAACTCTTCTTTGTTCTGCTTCTCTTAATCTTCTTTCTTCCTCTAATTTTTGTTGTTCTTCTTGTTTCTCTAATCTTCGTAAATTTGTACGACGTAAACGTTCATCTGTATACGTACATATACATATACATGTACATATACATATACATATATACATATATACATATATACATATATACACTCTAAACCCTAAACCCTAAACCCTAAACCCTAGATATACACTACATATATGTCGTATAAATAATTCAAAGTATTATATATAACTACAGTACAGGATATACCAGCTGCAGCACCTGCTGCAGCACCTGCTGCTGCTGCTGCTGCTGTTGCTGTTGCTGTTGCTGCTGTTGCTGCTGCTGCTGCTTACTCATCTTTGCTGCCTCTACCTCTAATCGTTTAGGCATAGCCTGTTGATAAGCTAATCGTTCTTGTTGTCTCTCTACTGTATCCTCAGGTTGCAGTGTCTCCACAACCCTGCAGAAAAAAAAAAAAACCCTAAACCCTAAACCCTAATAAACCCTAATAAACAAATGTATATGAATAAACAACAAACTAACCAACTAACTATACATATATGCATGCATGTTGATAAATATATAATAATAATAATAATAATAATAATAATAATAGTGTAGAGTTTGCTTGTATATTCATATAAATATATATATAATAATTAGGGTTTAGGGTTTAGGGTTTAGGGTTTACCTATCTAGTGCTCTTGATAGAGAAGCAAGAGAAGATCTAAGATAAGACTCTGGGTATACATCAGGCTCAGCAAAGATAAGAGCCTTGGATGCATAATCAATACGTACACTGAATGCGCCTGTATCTGCTGCTGCTGCTGCTGCAGCAGCAGCAGCAGCACTACTACAACCATCTGCTGCTGCTGCTGCCTTCCTACTAGTATGTATTAATGATACTAATAACTTCTCTGCCTCTGGCCATGATAAGAAAGACTCAGGACAAATATATTTAGTAAAATGATCAATAGATAAGGATACATACACCCTAGATAGCTGCCTAGACAGCTGAGCAAATACTATTTGTTTTAATGGATTTATATAAGGACTTAATAAAGGATCATCAGCTAATGATGATAATAATGGCTCAGCTAATGAGCTGCATATATATACACACACACAAATAAATACACAAAAAAAAGAGAAAAATATACATATATTTATACTATATACATACACACAACACATATATACACAAACATATTCAATATATATATATATATATATGTAAACCCTAAACCCTAAACCCTAAACCCTAAACACTTATTCCACTTATTATATTGCTGGTGCAGGAGAGGGAGGAAACAGACAGAGGGAAAAAGAAGAAAAAGAAGAAAAAAAAGAAAAACAATTAAGATAAGATATATAGGTATTAAATATAATATAAATAGATACATGAATAGATAGCGAAGAAGAGGAGGAGTAATAAATACATAAATAAATAATCAATAAAGGAAAAATAAATAAAATAAATAAATAAATAAATAAAATAAATAAAATAAATAAGTAAATAAATAAATAAAATAAATAAATAAATAAATAAAATAAATAAATAAATAAATAAATAAATAAACTTACCATAACTTAAGAGGAGTGAATTCTGCCTCAAGAAGAGAAAATAATTGTTGTACATTATGACTAGCATAATGTATAATATCTTTAGCTGTACATACAGCTAATAAACTATTTCTTGTTGGTACTGAATTATGTGCTAATAATTGAGCTAATTTCTTTTTATTCTCAAAATGAGGAAGAGATACTGCACTACCCTCTAACCATAATTCTCCTTCCCTCCTGTCGCTGTATACACACACAAGAATAA